TCTTAACTCATGAATTACACAAGGGAGGACTCTACAGAGGGTTAGGCCGCACTTCTGCGTTGTAGGAAGTCACAATGGGGTGGTCGTTGAACAACCAGTATGGTTTCCCCAGGGGGTTTTAAAGACTGGCCTGCTCTGTATGGGGAAAGGAGGCCTTCTAGACAGTAGCTGAGGCATTCTTATTTACCCAGGTTTTTTAAAATAATGTGTATAGTACTTCTGTGTTTCTGTTTTATTCACTTCTGCTTATGTTGTTGCTATGTACTGTTGTACACTTCCCTGAAATAGAAATTTGGAATCCCTTACTGTTGATTTAAAATGTTTATATGCTGCCCTTCATCAGTTTCTGTGGTTCATTATCGCCTGCCCTCTCCCATATTATGGTTGCTGGTGACTTGCCTGGCCCTATGCTTTTTGGAATTAGGAAAGGGTGCTTTTGTATAGGCTTAGGGTTGACTATTGGCTACCTCTTATACTGGTATCCCTTTTAAGGTGGCTACTTTCCCTTGCTTGCTTGCCTTTTTAGTGATCTCATGAGTAGAGAGAGAGGAGAAATTTGATTTCCCTTTGCATTTCAAGGTGAACCTACCTAATTTGCACTTTGCAAAACAATGTGAAACATAGTTGTCTTTTATTCATTTATTCATTCATTTTATTTGTATGCTGATTTTCTACAAAAAAAAACATGCTCAAAGTGGCTCACAACAAAGAAGCAGGGATGCATTTCAAACACTACAAAAACCATTTCATAATAACATAGCAGAACATAAATATGGCAATCTACCCCAAAACCATATTTCTATACTGTAAATATAACAAGATTCTTTAAACAACGTGCAACATCCTAAAGCAATAAGAACAAGGGAGCTTCAGTCTGACCTTAGTCCTAGAAACACTCCTCCCATGTTGTTCCTCGCAGTCCCTCTCCTGCAGCAACCATCAAACTCCTTTTGGGTTTGCAAGAAATGTGCGTATTGTGCACAAAAATGCAAATGTTAGGAAAAATAACACAGAACTTTCTGCAAGAAATTTCCCCTAATAATACATTTTTGTAAGTCGGAAATGCTCTTATATTTCTTAGGAAGTACTGAAGTTGTATTTAGGGTTGCTCCCTCTCTTTGGGCAGAGGCTCTGTGTTTTTTAGGAGCTGCATAGCAAGGAAAATGAATCAGGTACAGTATAGAGATAGGAAAGTCTGTGCAGATTGAAATTTGCCACCCTGCGGCTGTTAAAGAGATGGAGCTTCTGTCCCGATTGGCTGGTGCCCATTGGGACTAGTAGGGCAGAAACTAAGGGTAGATGGAGTCGGAGCCAATGACAGACAGAGCCAACTAATTCTAATCTTCTTCCCCATCCTCTTCCCTGATGAGCTCTTACAAAGTTTGTTTCAGCACTGAAACTAAAGAGGAGGAAGCTGTCAGGCTGCTTGTAAGTAAGCAGGCAGGTAGGTTGAGGCGGACTGAGGGTAAACTGAGGCTACTGGGCCTGTGCCCCTTTAGCATTAATGGACCAGCCTGCACTGGCTTCCAGTGGGTGTTGAGGGGAGGGACAACCCTACTTCCCCCAAAAAGAACAATTGGGTATATGGTTAAATAAGCACTGAGAATTAGTAGAAAAAATGTTTGCAGCTGTGGTTAAAGCCAGAGTTGTGATCTATTGATGCTACTAACCTTTCTTGTGTAATAAGTGAAGACATAGGTAAAAATAGTTATCTAGCTACCTTTGCTCTGAATTGGGGGAAAGGGACCATAATGGCCTTGGATGCAGCCCAAAGCAAAATAAGCTCACTTTCGCCAAACTTTCTGAAATGCCTTTTTCTGATTCATAAGTGAGCAAACAAAAATGCCAAAAGGTTAATCAGATCTCTAATCTGCCCATCACCTCTTTACCTGTGTTCTTATTACCTTGTGTTCCTCTCTTAAAATAACCGGTTGGTGTTTCATTATTTCACATGGTGTAAAAGCATCTCTGTTAAAGTGAAACGCCCTCCCATCAGATGTCAAAGAGATAAACAACTACCTGACATTTAGAAGACATCGGAAGGCAGCCCTGTTCAGGGAAGTTTTTAATGTGTGACATTTTAATGCATTTTTAATCTTTGTTGGAAGCCACCCAGAGTAGCTGGGGAAACCCAGTCAGATGGGTGGGGTACAAATAAGGTTGTTGTTGTTGTTGTTGATGGGTGGGGTACAAATAAGGTTGTTGTTGTTGTTGTTGTTGTTGTTGTTGTTAAATATAAGTGTCTTATGTTTGGGGGGGATCTTAGCTGGAATGTCTAAAGGTTTTTATTCTGGCACATAGGCTTATAGACAAGATAAGAATATAAAGAGTTGTTACTAAAGGTTTGAACCTTTGCCTTTTACCAAAAGCAATTATTATTATTTTTCAACCTTCTTTCCAAGAGTTACGTCACTTTTTAGACAAGGTGTCTCTGGTTCTTGCAATTTTCTCTTATCTTTGTCAGTTTGCATAAAGCTACATTGCTCTTGCATTAGTGCCTTATTTCACATGCCGTTAGTGAAAGCTTAACCTATAATCACCCATGTGTACACAAGGGATATAGCTGTATTTTTCCTCCTCCCTGTTAGGCAAATGCTGCTCCAACCACCTGTTAGCATTACATCACTGGCTCCCAAGAACACAGTTGTACCAAAAGGCCTGAAACAAAGTAGCTCTTCTTGCATTGTTTGCACTCAAAGAGCTGATGTCATGCCAAGCTGATGTCATTGTATGTCTTTGTGTAATTGCCATGGAAACCAGGCAGGTGGGGAGCCTGAGCTGATGTCATCTCAGAACGAGGTGTAGAAAGTTCTTAAGCTTCTGTTTTTCTCTTCAGATTTTGTGGAACAGCGTTAGACAACAGATTGGAAAATCCCAAAGTACGTTAGGACAATATTCTTTTAAAAAGTGTATCAGTCTTGGGTGCATTGGGTGAAACCCCCTCACCCTTCAAGTGCCCTCTCTTTGAGAAATCATCTTTTATGAAGCAGAATAATCAATTATGGAACTACGTAAGGAGTGTTACCATTTCACAGGCAAAACAAAAATGTTATTGTGGAATCTAAATGGATCATCTCCATGATCTCTCAATGGATTTGAGAGATTTAGAGGGGGGGGTTATTTATTTATCCCTTTCCTGCATCTTAAAAGAAGTGCTATCTGGGAAGTGAAAAAATAATAAAATACCTGTGTAACACAACCGTGTGTATGTGTGTTTAAAGTTTGAAAAACTATGTTTTGAACAATAGTTTAGCAGTCACTGGAGTGCATTCAAAATAGGCATGCTTAAAATATATTGGGTGATATCCACTGCTAGTAAGACTCAGAGTAGACCCATTGAAACCATTGGATGTAGGCGAAGCCGCATATGCACTATACATTTAAAGCAGTACCAGGCCATTTTAAACAAGCATGGGTTTTACCAAATAATCCTGAGAAATATAGTTTGTCCAGGGTGCTAATTGTCGTTAGGAGACAGAACTAGAATTCTCTAGAAAGAGGGAATGGTTGTTAAACCCCTCTGGGAATAGAGGACTCCTAACAAGTCTCAGCATCCTTAACAAACTACAATTCCCAGGTAAGTGAGGGGAATGACTTTTCACACTGTTGGGAGTATTCCACTTTTTCTGTGTGCCAATTAGCTGCCAGTCTATAACACCCTACAGTTTGGGGACCAGGGTACCACAAAGTTCATCTCACCCCTTATATACTCAATCAATCAGTGCACTCGGAAGTTGAGGGCCTCCTGCAGATACCTTTAGGAGATCCTAGAGTTTGATTGAAAGCAAACCTCCAAATCTAATGGGTAAATCATAGAAGGGACCCCGAGGATCATCTATAGTCCAGCCCCCCTGCAATGCAGGAATATGCAACTGTCCCATACGTGGATCGAACTTGCAACCTTGGTGTCATCAGTAGCATGCTCTAACCAACGGAGCTATCCAGGCTCTACACAGTGGATAACTCAGAACTTTAGTGTTGAGGCGCCTCCCCTACCCTTTGGAATTTCCGCTCTGTTAAATATCACATAGGTGCCATCACTGAAGACCATCTACTGAAGACCATTGTCTTCCAACAAGCCTTTCAAGTAGAGATATTTCCAAGTCTGCATCTATATAACTGGGAGTGGCTGCCAAGACCATATAACAATGGTCCTGAAAATCCTACATTGGCTCCCAGTACGTTTCCAAGCACAATTCAAAGTACTGGTGCTGGCCCTTAAAATCCCTAAATGGCTTTGGCCCTGTACAGTGGTACCTCGGGTTAAGTACTTAATTCGTTCCGGAGGTCCCGTTCTTAAACTGAAACTGTTCTTAACACCACTTTAGCTAATGCGGCCTCCTGCTGCTGCTGCTGCGCCACCGGAGTATGATTTCTGTTCTCATCCTGAAGCAAAGTTCTTAACCCGAGGTTCTATTTCTGGGTTAGCGGAATCTGTAACCTGAAGCGTATGTAACCCGAGGTACCACTGTATACCTGAAGGAGTGTCTCCACTCCCACTGTTCAGCTGGGACACTGAGATCCAGCTCCGAGGGTCTTCTGGCAGTTCCCTCACTGTGAGAAGTGAGGTTACAGGGAACCAGGCAGAGGGCCTTCTCAGTAGTGGTGCCCGCCTTGTGGAATGCCCTCCCATCAGATGTCAAGAAAACAAACAACAATCTGACTTTTAGAAGACTTCTGAAGGCAGTCCTGTTTAGGGAAGTTTTTAATGTTTGATGTTTTATTGTGTTTTTAATATTCTGTTGGGAGCAGCCCAGAGTGGCTGGACAAACCCAGCCAGATAGTCAGGGTATAAATTATTATTATTATTATTATTATTATTATTATTATTATTATTATTATATTGGAATTGCAACATTTTATCATTTGTGTGCTTGTCAGCCTGGGCTCCTTTGGGTAGATGGGTGGGATATAAATATTAATAATGATGATGATGATACTAACTAAATAATACCTCAGGTTCCTGACCTTCTCCTTTTTAAAATCCCTCTGTGCTGCAGGTGGACTCAGCAGTTTTAAACAGAACCACGAAAACCTCTGTGACAACTCCCTCCAACTCCAAGAGTGCCCCGAAGGCGGAGGAGGGGGCGGTGCTGCTGCCGCGGTGACCTGCACGCTACCTCAGTCCATCCCGACCACCCCAGACATTGAGAACGCCGAGCTCACGCCCATCTTGCCCTTCTTGTTTCTTGGCAATGAGCACGACGCTCAGGACTTGGAGAAGATGCAGCGGCTGAACATCGGCTACGTCATCAACGTCACCACTCACCTCCCTCTCTACCATTACGAGAAAGGCTTGCTCAACTACAAGCGGCTGCCGGCCACAGACAGCAACAAGCAGAATCTCAGGCAGTACTTCGAAGAGGCTTTCGAATTCATTGGTAACTATCCTAGCAAAACGGCCGCAATGGCTGCTTTGGCGGCGCAAATGCATTTAGTTCCAGGCTGACAGGCGTGGAACTGATTATCTTTGCCCAAGGGGGTGGGAAACAGCTTATCATATTGTGTTGTTGTCTGAGCATTTCGGCACTTGCAGAACTTTCCGTCGGCCTATGGTAGGGGTGCCAAAGAAATCTGGTCGCTTCCCATGTTTTATTATCATTTTTTTTGGCCTCTTTGTACCATATTTTTAGCTCTATAAGACGCACCAGACCATAAGATGTGCCTAGTTTTTGGAGGAGGAAAACAAGAAAAAAAAATATTCTGAATCTCAGAAGCCAGAACAACAAGAGGGATCGCTGTGCAGCGAAAGCAGTGATCCCTCTTGCTGTTCTGGCTTCTGGGATAGCTGTGCAGCCTGCATTCACTCCATAAGACGCACACACATTTCCCCTTACTTTTTAGGAGGGGAAAAGTGAGTCTTATAGAGCAAAAAATATGGTACATTATGCAGCATAATGACAGCTGGGATAGCTCAGTTGGTAGAGAATGAGACTTGTAATCTCAGGGTTGTGGGTTCCAGCCCCACAATGGGCAAGAGATTCCCCCATTGCAGAGGGTTGGAATAGGTGACCCTTGGCAGTCCCTTCCAACTCTGATTCTGCAATGTGCATGTGTGTTTAAACTTGCAAGATTTCAGGAGCACACCTGTGTTTTCTGGAGGGGGCATGTTAGATGGGCATCTGCTGACAGCACCCATTCTCGTATGAGCCAGATGTTTGCAAAACACCTGTTTCTCACATTCACACTTGGGCTGCCTTCGGACATGGGGGATATTGTGTTTGTTTTCCTGATTATAACGCTAGCACTTCTGCACCTTGCACACTGCAGTACCTGTTGTGGAGTAGCAGTGTTCTGATGGATATACCAGCATGTCACACTAAATATCATTCCCAACAGTGGCCATGGTGTGACACAAGAACAGATGTCATTGGACAATGTTGCTCCTCCCACGCCCTTTCCACACATGTGTGCTTCTCTTCAGGAAAGAACAGTATGCCAGTATAACGTCCCAAATTTCATCACTTCACTTCCATCGTTTTCTTGGTTAAGGTGGCTGCAAATGGATCTTTTTCCTGGAATTAAATTGCATGGAAATGAGTGCCCCCAGCAACCCCCTGCAGCCTCAATTATACATTGAGGCTTTGGGGGTAGGAAATGTGGCTGCAAGAGGGAGGACAGAATGAGAAACATAGGCTGACATAAAAGCCAAGCCATTGGGTACTGGTGGCTGGAAGATCATGTCCACAGTCACACCTGCAGTGCATTACTCTGTTGGCAACTCATTGGTGCACTGCATTAAATGTGTGGATACTAGTGGGGAGGAATCCAGGAGCATGTGGACATTATGAGTGGGGCCAATGGGTGTGATCCTGCTTCCACCTCCACGTATGACATACAGTGGTACCTCGGGTTAAGAACTTAATTCATTCTGGAGGTCCATTCTTAACCTGAAACTGTTTTTAACCTGAGGTACCACTGTACAGTATAGACAGCGAGGAGTTTGTATGAACACCCCAGTGCACAGAAGGTGACAGCAGTGAGGTATTCTAGGGCATACGCTGAAAATTATTATTATTGTTGTTGTTTATTATATTATTTGTACCCCGCCCATCTGGCTGGGCTTCCCCAGCCACTCTGGGTGGCTTCCAACAAAGATTAAAAATACATTAAAATGTTACACATTAAAAACTTCTCTGAACAGGGCTGCCTTCAGATGTCTTCTAAATGTCAGGTAGTTGTTTATCTCTTTGACATCTGATGGGAGGGCGTTCCCGTTTGGTTTTACCTTTCAGAGTAAGAATATTGGTTAAAGGGGTGGTAGAAATGGGGGATTTTGCTGCTAGAAGATGTGGCAATGGCCACCAATGTGAATATTTCTAAAAAGAAGGAATATACCAATTTGTGGAAGATAAGGCTATCAATGACTGCTAGTCATGGCAGCTATACGTAGGAGATGGATTGAACAGCCTAACTCTTTCTCATTTCAATCTTGCTGGCGCTCAGACACAGGCTCATTTTGTTTTGTGACGGAGATGATAGATAGATCGATAGATGATCAATATAATCCGCATTTAAATTTTATGCATTTTGTATGCAAAATGCACACTTTTTAATGCTTCTCCAATCTGTAACATATGCAATTTGCTTGTATCTCTCACACAAAAGTTACATTTTTGTGCACATAATCTGCACACAAGCAACATCTAGAAAAGTACATAATCGACAGGGGATTACATTCTGATCTGCCTGCACTTTCGGGAGCACTGGGTCACATCAGTCTGCTGTGAAAAGCAGACTGAACAACTTCTTTCCCCATCCCTAACTGTATGCTCCCTTTGGTTTCAGAGGCATCAGGCCTCTAAACACCTTTTGTTAGGAGCAGCAGTGGGAGAAGCCAGTTGCCCCCATGCATGTCGTTCCCAGAGGCATCTGATTAGTCACTGTACGAAGGAGGATGCCTTTGGGCTGATCTGCTGTGGCTCTTAGTCAGTTTTCCTATCCTTCCTATCAGGGGAAAATCATTTGGTGGCTTTCTTCCTAGAAAGGCACCACCTGATATTACTAATTCTAAATTCTACTACAGTAAGAGATACGACTACAGGATTTCTCCCATTTGAAAATTTAACTGCTTTTAACCACAACCAAAGGAGATTGCAAGCCTTTCTCTCTTGAAGTCACTGATCTCACCACATGACAAAAATGTTTACTCAGTGCCAGAGTTCTGAAATCCACAGTTGAGCAATACCTTTTATTTGGACCAACCAAAACATCACAAAAATAGTGAGCAAGCTTTTAAAGTCATTTTGTTGTGTTTTTCCTCTCCCACCCCCACCCTGTATAGACTTTGCATAGACATACAAAACAATGGTGAAGAGTTCTGGAGAACTCAAAAGCTTGCTCAATGTTTTGAGGCCCAGTATTTTTTCCTGTTTAACATACCGTTAATGCCTTCTTGTGTTTAGGACAGATGTTCATAATAAAGGGAAGCAGAGCCAGTGTTGTTTTTTTGGAAATCTTGGTCCCTTTTTGCATCTTTCTTTTACAACTGTGTCATAAATATGGGAGGACAATGAAATGGAGGGCAAAAAATGTCTACCCTTGACTGGTCCTTTTTTAACCAATACTTTTACAGACTGTCTCTAAAATGCCACTTAAGGCTATATGATGGGCAATTCTATCATCTATCTATCATCTATCTATCTATCTATCTATCTATCATCTATCATCTATCTATCTATCTATCTATCTATCTATCTATCTATCTAATCTATCTATCATCTATCTATCTATCTATCATCTATCTATCTATCTATCTATCTATCATCTATCATCTATCTATCCAGTGGCGTAGCGTGGGGGGTGCAGGGGGGGCCGGCCGCACCGGGCGCAACATCTGGGGTTAGGGCAAATCCACAGGTTAGGGGGCGCAAATCCACGGGTTAGGGGGCGCAAATTACTTGCCTTGCCCCGGGTGCTGACAACCCACGCTACGCCACTCTATCTATCTATCTATCTATCTATCTATCTATCATCTATCTATCTATCTATCTATCTATCTATCTATCATCTATCTATCATCTATCTATATCTATCTATATCTATCTAAATTAAATTCTTACACCCCACCCCTTTTCACTTTGGTAACTCTAGCCTAGAGCTATGCCTGCATGTTTGATGAACATATATTTCTTTGTCTTGACTTTTTAGTAGGATAAATATTCTGTTAAGTAACTAGTCAGAGCTTAGCTTTGCCCTAGGGACAGTTTAAATTGGATCTGCAAAGATCTGGGTGTCTTAAATAGATTTTCTCCCTGCTCCCAAAGCAGGGTTTTATGAAGGCTGAAATAAAGGCAGAAGGCCTGTGGAAAATCAATGTGTATCCTTCCCAAGAATCAACCTGAAGCACCGTCTGGTTCCGTAAGACAAGCTGTGCTGGATCAGGCCACCAATCCACCTGGCTTAGGTCACTTTGAAAGTCACTTTCACATCACCTTTTATGCAGCTAAAGATATATGCAAATGTGGAGAAGGACACGCTCAACACATTAGGAACTGGAGGTTTGCTGCAGTGGAAATGTGGCTTCCCAGCATTCCCAGGTTTCTGTCTCTTAATGTGTGAATTGGCCCTTGCAAAACTCATGAATGACAAAAACTTAACAGTTTTGAAAATTCTGGATTCTATGTGGTTTCCATAATTCAGCTGGCTTTTGGTGAGCCTTGGATAAAAGGCACACATGACTTGCTGGAGTGTAAAAAAAAATAAAAAAATTCCCTACCAGATCAGAAGGGCTATTGGGAGAAAAGGTTGTGTGGGGAGGGTCACCTGTGGCATGTAGAACAAACCACATCTGCCACCCAGAATTTATTTAATAATGATTTTCCCTGTCCTTAAGGCAGCACTTTATTTTTCCTTCTTGCTGTTGCCTGTGCTTCAAGAGAAGATCAATGTGAATGTGTACCCAGGAAGCCAACCTTAATAAAATATTAGGGGGGGGGAGCAGGCAAGTCCCGCCCCACACAATTGATCACAAGACCTGGCACACACACACAATTTGAATGACAATGCCCACCAACTGGGGGGCGGGCTCACATATTTTATTTGACCCCTACGAGTTGGCTCCTATGATGCCCATACACAAATACTCCCAGGACAGGTGCTTTCCACACCACGACATTATGTTTTAATATAAAATCAGTGCTTTTTGTTTTATTATATAATTGCAGTTTCCCAGATCCAAAGCTCACCCCCCCTCCCCTGGGCATTCCACAATGGTTGTGTTATGTTGTTGAAAGAAGAATGTGCACTAACAGAGGCCATTGTGCCCATGGTCCAGACACCACCCCAAAAATGTGCATGAACAAAGTGGTATAAAAAAAGTGGGACTTGCATACTGCAAATGATGGCAATGGAATGTCTAACATATTCTCTAGTTTGTCCTGTCTGTGGGTTCACTTGGTATGGTGTGAGAGCCTTACATCATTTGGAGGCGCTGCACCTAGTTTTCAAAACCCGCTGTTTATTCTGTTCATATGAGCACATTCTCCCTGATGTCAGGAGCTGGTTTTGTAGCATATTCTACATGTCCAACATTGTTAGAAGTACAAAATGTATAATATAATGTGTGAGTCCATAGAAATGTGCATTTCTCTGGGGAGCAATATTTTAAAAATGCATTAACTGGAATTGGTAATAGCAAGAATGATCTACAGATCTAGGGAGGGAGAGGGGCACAATGATTTCTGGCCACTTCCGAGTTGCAAATGAGAGAAATAAGGTGCATAGGTGAGGTTCTAGCCCAGTAACCTCTGCAGGGGCTGTAGGCTTCCCAACTCTAAGTGAGTGAATCTCTGGCTGCTGCTTATTTTGCGGAATGCATTAGGAGCTCAGGTCTCTTGACCTCTGGCTTTCACTCACTGAAGTGAATGTTTACATTTTATTTCTGTGCTTTTTTTCCAGAGGAAGCTCACCAGTGTGGAAAAGGCCTCCTCATCCACTGCCAGGCCGGTGTGTCCCGCTCTGCCACCATTGTCATCGCTTACCTTATGAAGCACACGCGGATGACCATGACTGATGCCTATAAGTTTGTCAAAGGCAAGCGACCAATCATTTCTCCTAATCTTAATTTTATGGGGCAGTTATTGGAGTTTGAGGAAGATCTGAACAACGGAGTCACGCCGCGAATTCTCACGCCAAAGCTGATTGGGGTAGAGACTGTCGTGTGATGGCAAAGAAGCATGTGACTAAAAAAAGATGTTCGTATTCTTCACTTGTCATGGACTTGGAAGGCTTGGATTTCCCCCATATTTTTTTCCTTTTTAGCTTTATTGAGAAGGGTTTATTATAAGACAAAACTTTGGACAGGAACCTTTTTGAAGAAAAGGTTTTAAAAATACAAGGACTTCACAAGCGTTGGGCAAGATACCTTTGGAAGTCCCTTCTTGAAAAGTGGATGATGTGGGGATGCTTTGAAGAAACCAGTTTTAAAAGTCTCCATGCGTGTAAGAGAGAAACTGGACACTATATATTTTTTTCTTCCCTTTTTTGTTATTCAGCTACTTGTAGAGATTATGACTAAATAGTCTGTGCAGGTTCATAGACCGAAGACAGCTATGTTTCTTTCCCAAAATAAAATACAACCAGCCAAAATAAAAAAGCGAAAAGACAACTAAAATCCACGGGCGGCCTTGAGTTTGCAAAGGCTTTGCTAAAGAAACCCTAAGCAAAATGCTTGCTGGTGCAAAGAAGATCAGAGCAGCTTAAAACTATCTGCAAATCCCTTCTCGCCCTCTTGACTAGAGAAAATCTTTTTATTTGCTGTGTTTCATCTTCTGGTACTATTTTTCTATTTGGGGGTTGGGGGTAGGCTAACACCAAGGGACTTGACCATTTTACGCCATATGCCTTTACTGGCTTCTTGTGCAATAATAGTTTTGAGTAATGGAAAGAGTTCTTTATTTTGAGTGTTCAAACCAGTTACAGCTGGCTGCCCATTAATAATATTAATAATATTTTTAAATAGCATAAAGGTGGCTGGCTTGATTTAGAAGAAGGTATACAACAACAACAAAAGCAATTATTTTTTTCCCTTTTTCAGATTCTGGTTATAGTGCCATACACCTTGTTAAATATGTATATCAGAATGTACAAAGATCAAGAACAAGCAAAGTTTATTTAAAATATTTTTTCGCACAAAATACTGGTGTGTTTTTCTGTTCATGTAAAAAGTTTGATTATAAAAATGAAAACTGTTTTAGAAATTGTGCGTGTGTCTCCTTTCCCTTATTTCTTTCGTGAACGCTCCTGTATAGTTAGCTTTCCACTTGCAAGAAGCAGCAGGGCATGGTGCGGTGGTGGGAGGGCAGATTGTGGCACAAGGGGGCGGGGAGTACTTGCCATGCAGATGTTCCATGTGGCTCCTATCTCATCTAACTATGGCCTTGGTCCAGTGAAACCATGGTTTGTTGGACAAAGAATGCGTATGATGCCCATACACTTCCTTCTCCCTTTCTCTCAGGGATAAGGAACCTGTGGTCCTCCCAATGTTGTTCAGAGTCCAACTCTCGCCAGCTTGGCCAATGGTCAAGAGCGATGGGCAGTGCAGCTGGCAACATCTGGAGCACCACAGGTTCCCCAACCCTACCTTCTGGGGTTTCTTAAAGGACAGTTCCTCAGACTTAATAAGAAATGGCAGTTGTTGTTTTTTAAAGTCCTAGATGCACAACAGAAAGGGAAGAGGATGCATGTTAATATAACTCGTTTTCAGTCTGATAAACCATGGTTTATTCAGACCAAGTTCATCTTGTCTGAAAGGGCCTGGGCAACAAGTTGATCTGCATGTAGAATTGGCATACCCCAAGCATATCCACCTGGCCCAGACTGCATATGTGTGTCCAGATGCTCATACGAGATGGCAGCTACAGGGCACACTGGCGAATGCTGCTTTCGTGGCTCCCATGCAGTCTTAAACAGGCCTTGAGTACTCTGTAGTACAGACATCCAATCCCATTTTGGGTCAATTTTATATTGCTCCCATTCTCCTTTTTCACTGCAGGCTTATTCTGCAAGCTGCCAAATCCAGCATTTTCTAGAGAGCTGCTATTTTTGTGATGAGTATATGTGGAGCAAGGGTTGATTAGCTAGCTAGGTAGGGAAAATATTGATTATTGTAGGCTACATCCACCTAGGGTTTTTAGCTAGTGGTTTTTCACACATCACTAACACTTGCCAAGCACATGCACTGATCCCTAGTTGTCCGCATACCTGAAGGGAGAATTTCAAAGCATATAGTCCATATGCTTGAATGTTGAAGGTATACTTTCTGGATGAGACATAGACATAACTGGTGGTTGAAGACTTGCTTCCTTCTTCTCTTCTCCAGTTCCCCTCAGCAATATATCACAGCTTCTCTAGCCTACATATAGTAGGAGTATTTAAAATGAGAGTCGTCATAGTGTCCTCTTTTCTTGCTCTTCAAAATATGGCAACCCTAGGAGGTATCCATGCCTCCATTTTAAGTATTAAGAGATGAATCAGTAACATGAGGGATTTCCTCAGTAATGTGGGATTTCCTCTTGGTCAGCAGCCTGCTAACCAATTACCATTTTGCACCACTTGGAGCATTTTCCACATTTTAAAAAAAACATGATTCAATTGCATTTGCTAGAATTTCAATTGGGGAAACAGCAGGATAGAAGCAGAATGGAGGCTCAGTAACAATCCATTCCATGGAAAACACTGCAGAGCCTTGCTTTCTCCATTCCTCCACTAGTTCGCTGACTAATTTTAACACCCACATGGAAAAGGCCTTTTGGTGTCCAGCTCCTTGTGCTTTTGAATAGTTTTTTGTGTTTGAGCTATAGCTGACTTCATTTGCCCACCCAGCCTTATTTTATTGTTTTGGCCATGGTCACATCAGTGTGAGATGCAGCTTATAAAGTGGGCATTTATCACTGATCTCTCATTTAGATGTGCTAGTCTTTGCTCCCTTTGCCAGTCCAAAGCTTGGATATAATCCATGGTAAAGTTCTGCTGCTCGTGCCATTAAAATGAGTGCTTTTATGCAGTTCCCGTTCATTTCAATGGAGCATGCTGAAGAACTTCCCAGTGAATTGTGCCTCCTATTAGTATGAATTTGGAATGATTAGAGAGATGTTCCAGTTAGATGACCTTTGTGGGATTTTTGTACTGCAGTGAAGGCTCCCCACCCCACTGCTTCAGATCAAATTCTGTACAGGCAGAATAAAGTGAAGTGAGGTGTGTCAAAAGAACACTGTGTATATTGACCCCAGATGTGTAAATTGCTGTGCACTTTTACTCAACAATGTTGTTACTATACATATATTTTCTTGAAATTTTATGCCTTTATTAAACTATTTTTATACAAGGATTGATTATTTTTGCTTTCTCTGAATGTAGTAGACTTTCTGTCTTGATTTTGTTTCTCCTCAATACAAAGAAGGGCCACAAGTAGATGGCTCCTGAGCTTTAGGGAAAAATGATGAGAGAACATTTGACTAAAATGAGCTGGCTAGTTTCTAGGGCTGCTTCTCCAATTCTTTGTACCCATCCTGAAAAAGTTAAAAATATTGGGCTGCATCAAGCTCCATTTTACTGGAACTTGACCCACTGAAATTGATGCACGTATGTTAGTCATGTCCATTAATTTCAGCGGGTTTCTGCTGAGTATGACTAACATTGGGCACAACCCATTAAACTTAGCACATGCCTCTATATCATAATAACTAAAATACAAAACACACATTTCATTCAACAATTTGTTAAGCATATACTTAACAGCACGTAGACTAAATTTCAGAAAGCGTAAAGAGGAAAGGGCTCTCCAAATTTCACAATGGTTATATTTACAGTGTCTTTTTATATGTATGTAACTTGGCCAATAGTAAGGGACCACATACCTCTTAAGCACTCAGTGGTGTGCATTTTTTTAGGTTGCAAATTTCCAGAATCTTCCAAATGTAATTCTAGTCCATTGGCAGACTCTGAATACCATGGAAAGTTCATGAGGACGGTTTCTGTCAGGGTAGACAACACTGAGCTAGGTGGAGCAATGGTCTGTCTCAGTAGAAGGCAGCTTCCTAGGTCCCTAACTGATAGAACCAACTGCAACAAGGTGTGGTGATACTAATTTAGGAAGTTCCTGCTGGGGTTGGGCTAGATGACCCTTGGTGTCCCTTCCGACACTACTATTCTCTGATTCTGTGAGGATTTAAAAGGCGATTGTAGATAAAGAAGGGAAACGCTTCTAGCCGTGGTGGCAATATGAAACCTCCAGGTTCTGAGGCCACAGACCTCTCCATGTCAGTGCTGGGAACTGAACCTGGGATCTTCGTCAGCTGAATCAGTTGCTCTTGCCACTGAGCTGTGAGCTGTTGCGCACCCTTCTGTGGGTAAACAATACTCGGACAATCTGAGTTTCTTGATAAAGAGACACTAAAAATCCTGCTATGGCTGCTCCCTCTATCCTTTATGAAGACTGTTCCGTGACTGCTAAGAAACAGCCCTTTGCCTCGATAAACAAAGAGCGGCATGTATGATTCTGCTCCCAGTTTGATTACCCTATATTTATAACTCGCCTCATTTTCCATAGAGGCCTACAAGAGGCTGGGCTCTGATAAGCTGTCGTTCTCAGCGCAGAAACAGCCCCAGAATAGTTCCAGTGTGTTGTTTCTAATTGCAACGGATGAGCAGACTGGCTCATTAATCCTCCCCTATCAGCAGTGCATAACTTGTCTGCACCAGAATAGCCCTGATCTCAGCAATCCTGCATTTCAGCCTTGGGCTTGTGTGTTCAACGTATTTGGGAAAGGCAAGTTTCCACCACAGGCCCAAGGGGACTTCTACTTGACTGAGCTGACTTTATATATAGTCGAGGCTGTGCATCACCCACCGAGGTTTATGTCATTTCGTAAGAAAATACATCGGTGCTCTTTAAGTTTGCATTATTTAGAGGAATCTTTTCCAACCACATTATTTAGCAGATGTCTTTTATTTTTCTTTCTTTTGGAACACGATAGCAAACCATGCTCTGGGTTAGAAAGGGGAAAAGCCGAAATATTTTATTTTTCTCTCCTCTTCTCCCCACACTCCTTCCACTATAGATGATATAACCACCTAGATATCTGCTGATTTACAAGTTCCCTTTTTATTTTTTTTATTTGTATTAATCTTTTCGAGATGGACTGCTGGTCAAATGGGTATTGCAGTCTTTGCTGCAGTTACTGGACCAATACTTTTTAATGTGCAGGGAGCAAATTTCATCATCTCTGGTAGATAAGGCTCCTAGAATTGGACTGCTCCTAAAGACAGTCTAGAATAGCAGCAGAGAATTCAAGGCAGGATGCACTGATTTAAATTAGGGATTGGGAACCAATTATATTATTTATTTGTACATTTATATCTGGCTTTCCCCCCAAGGAGCACAAGGCGCCACCCATGGTTCTCCCCCCTCACCATTTTATCCTCACGACAACCCTGTGAGGGTAAGTTAGGCTAAGAGACAGTGACTGGCCCAAGGTCACATAGAGAGCTTCATGGCTCAGTGGGGATTTGAACCCTGACTTTCCAGCAATGCTGCAACCACGACAACAGCATATGACTTTTGTGTCCCTATGTCTCTCAGCAGCTGGGGGAAGAAGCCCAGAGGGAGAGAAATAGGGGGGAATGCAATAAAATAAAATAAAATAGGTCTGTGTAAGGCAAAAAGGGTGGAGCAGTGGCAGATGGTTGGGAGAGAAGGGGGTGAAACGTACATTGATAATGTCTATAAGAATAAAAGAAAACTATTATAATTTAGCCTGGAGATGGTATTTAACACCAGTCAGATTACATCAAATAAATAGGGAATATTTGGTGTTATGTTGGAGGAGATGCCAGGAAACGGGGAATTATGTTCACATGTGGTGGGGGTGTAAATATGTACAATTTTCCTGGCGAAGGGTGTTTAAGGAGATAACAGAAATCACTGGGTTAAAGCTGACTGAAAGTCCAGAGGTAGCATTATTATCAATTTACGATGGGGTGGAAGGTTGGCAGGCTATAGACTTGCTTACCAATTTATTGACAGCTGCACATGTTATTATAGCTAGGAAGTGGAAGGGGCAAGCAGAATATAAAATGGAAGAATGCCATAAGGAGGTGTGAGATATAGCTATTAATGATATATTAACGTGCTATTAAGGTAGGACGGGGAATATGCAGGAGAAATGATTTTGAGAAGATATGGAGGGTGTTTGTAGAA